ATCGAGGAAACTCATCAACTGGTGCCCAGCCGTCGCATCAATCATTTGATCAATGTTTGGCTATAGGAATGAGAGGTCTTTTGGGCAAGCCTTATTCAGATCTTTATAGTCTACGCACATGCGAAATTTATTATTCTTTTTTGAAACTACTACTACGTTAGCAAGTCAGTCAGGATACTTCACCTCTCGGATCAAATCGATATCATGCAATCGAGTTACCTCATCTTTGAAAAACATATTTTTGACCTCGGCAATAGGGTGTTTCTTCTGCCTTATCAGAGGGATGTCAGGATCCAGGCTTAACTAGTGCACGACCACTTCTAGCGAAATACCTGTCATATCCGCATGCGACCACACAAAACAATCAACATTAAATTTAAGGAATTCTATGAATCCTGACCTTAGCTCGGGGTTTAGTCCTATCCTCAAGTGAAATTTCTTCTCCAATAATTTCTCGAACAACGAGAATTGTTCGAGTTCTTCCATTGTGGATTTGTTTGTGTCCGTTTCTTCTGGTACCTGGAAATACCTTGGCATCTGATGGGATACTAATGACTCACCCCCTTTGTCGACTTTGTTTAGATCGGGAGCAGGCGTCGGTTCCTGTAATTGCTATGTAGCACGTTCCTTCCCTTTGCTACTCAAAATTGAGATCGCATTTATCTCCTTTGACACCGGTTGATCTCCTCTTATTTGTTTAACTTCCTCTGAAGCTGCGAATTTCAGAAGTTGATGGTATGTCGACGGTACAACCTTCATTTCTTGCAACCATGATCTTCCAAGAATAATGTTGTAGCCCATATGCTGTCTACTACTTCAAACAAAGTAGTCTTTATTACCCCTTCGGCATTCATGGGCAACAGAATCTCCCATCGGGTTGTCACGCTGGCTAAGTTGAACCCAGCGACGAGCTTTGTAGCTGGAATAATGCTTCCGGTTAGCTTGGCTTGCTCTAGCACTCTCCATTAGATAATATTAGCCGAACTCCCTGGGTCCACAAAAACACTCTTAATTTTAAAATCTAAAACATTAAGAGAAATTACCAGGGCATCGTTGTGCGGTAGTAGAAGTCCATCAGCGTCCTCTTCTATGAAGGTGCTATCGTCTTCGGCGACTTCACGGAGTCTTTTGCTGTGGGTTACCGATACCTTTGTCTTCTTTTCGGCTGAGAAGGTTAGACCATTGATCTTGTTCCCTCCGAAAATCATGTTGATCGTTAGACGAGAAGTATCTTCTCCGGTCTTTGAGGGCTCCGCGTTATCACAGTTGCGACCATAGTTGTTTTTAGCCCGGTCGCTTAAGAACTCACTGAGATGGCCGTTTTTAGACAATGTCGCCACCTCCTCGTGCAGATGTCGGCAGTCCTTGACCCGATGGCCGTTGGTCCCATGATACTCACACAATAGGTTAGGATCCCTCTGACTGGGGTCGGATCTCATCGGCCGCAGGAACCATGCTTCCTTAATGTTCCTCATTGCCAATACCAATTCCACCACGATGACGTTGAAATTGTACTTCGATAGTCTGGGGTAGATGAAATCCCGAGAACCTAGCGTATCTTTATCCTGCAACGATCTGTTATTCATACATGACGACTCTCCTGTCGGTAGCGAACCCATCTGCAAACTAGAAACCTCAGTCGCATCCTTCGGCCCTTTCGTAGGGAAAAAATTGACCTTTAGTAGACCGTCAATATTCGTCAAAATTTTTACTTATTATTCTCTCGGTCCCGACCCTTGATTGATGCCGGGAAGTCGCGCTGATCATTTTCTATTCTTATCTTCGATTCGTAGTGCTTGTGGACATTCGCCCATGTCTTTGCCTAAAACTCGAGAGACTTTCTTTCAGTTTCTGGGAAGCGTTAGAGCTCATCGGGTTCAACCCCTTAGTGAATGCCTCAGCTGCTAATTCGTCTGGCACGACCGGTAGCAGCATCCTTTCCTTATGAAATCTGGTTACGAACTCTCGTAGCAGTTCGGACTCTCCGTGTGTAATTTTGAATATGTCGGTCTTTCGGGCTTGCATCTTTCTGTCCCCGTCATGGGCATAGATAAAGGAATCCGCGAGCATCTCGAAGTAATCTATTGAGTGTTCAGGTTAAAGTGAATACCATATCAGGGCCCCCTTCGTGTGGGTCTCCCCGAACTTCTTCAACAAGAACCCCTTCGTGTGGGTCTCCCCGAACTTCTTCAACAAGACTGACTCAATCTCGTGCAGAGCTAAATCGCTTCCTTTCACCGCTGTTGTATAGGTGGTGATGTGCTCCTGAGGATCCGAGGTCCCATCATATTTTGGCACGTATAGTATTTTGAACCGCTTCAAGATTAACTCCGATGTCGTGCTTGGTTTGAACGACAACTGAGTGTATTTCTTCGAGTCCAGTCCTTTCAACACTGGCGGTGCGCCCGGGATCTGATCCACTCGGGTGTTTATTTATCTCATAAACCGCATGAGTTCGATTTTAAAGGGATCATTCTCGTTATTGTTTATAGATCCCTTGTCGTTCCCTCCGGCTCTATCTAAGCCAACCTTACCCATCGGGGTGTTGTTATCAACCCTTTGTGCTGTTTGGTTTGCGGGAGCACATGGACCTCTTCCATTCGCATTGTTGTAAGAACCCGACATTGCTTGCTTCAACTCCATCATGACCTGATCTTGTCGCGAGAGATGGCCCATAATAGTCTTTTGTTGTTCCCTCAAGATTCTCAATGTTTTACGCAATGTGCTCGTCTTCAGCATCATTAGGAGTTGCCTCCGGAACGTGTCATGGATATTGTCCGTCATGGACCGGCGTGGCTTCATCCCCCTCGTTGCGAGTATCGCTGATCAAATCTTCATGTTGAGGTTGATTTCCTTGGGACTCAACATTGTGTGTGATGTTGACATCGTTATCTGCCGTTTTTACGATTTTTCGCTAAGAAATAAAGAATTAAATAGAGTTAGTAATTGATGCAAGGATCAATCCAATAACTTTCTAAGCCCCACGGTGGGCGCCAAACTGTTTACCCATAAAACGGTACAGTTGGAATTTGTAACGTTGTTATAGACAAGCGAGTCAATTTGATCCCAAAATAATAAATAAATTAAATTAAATACAAGACTTAGCGTTGAAATCGAGATAGGAGAGCAAATAGCTTAGTCCTGGGAGCAAAGCTTCCGAAGGCAGCAGTATGAATATCAACAAGTAAGAAATGAAATCTTATTGAGCTTTTGAATAGTATATTGCATAAGCTTGTTAGAAAATTCGTGTCCATACAATGGCTGTTGAGATCACTATTTATAGTTACACCTAGGGAACAAGGTCCTAGGATCAAGCCCTTCTTAAGTATAATTATGGGGGCCATTGAAAAAGCGGCGTAATGTTAAATATTTAAAAATGCGGAATGGCTTCCTGGCCACTTAGACTTGTAGGAAATTTGAAAGCTGATACATGAACTTTAATCTTTCCCATTTGAACACTCGAACTTGACGGAATGAGTACTAATAAATACATCCAGTAGTGCGTGTATATCCCATTTGACGTCATATACTAGACTATTTATTACTTGACATGTGTTATTTGTGGGTCCTATTTTTAAATACTCCCACCATTTCAAATTAGATGAGGTACTTTCCTTTTTAGTCTGTTCCAAAATAAATGACACATTTCTAAATTTGAAATAATTCAACTTTAAATTCTTTATTTTATCCATTTTACCCTTAATAAGAAGCTTTTATAACCACAAAAATATCATGGCCCACAAAGCTTTTACCCCTTAAGCTTTTAAGACCACAAGTTTCAAAAGCCTTTTTTTTTCTTAAACTCCGTGCCAGTCAAACTAACTCATCTAAATTGAAACGGAGGGAGTACTAATTAAGCAAAAAAGAAGTTACAAATTAAAAAAAGAAAAAAGAAAGAGAGTAAAAGACCTGACACTTCTCTCCGTTCACCCACCTCCATTCCTTTCCTCATTTTTATTCGTCTTCTTTTTCTTTTTCTTCGGTGTTCTTTCTCTCTCTTATTTCTAAATCAAATTCACAACACAACTATGCTCATAGTTAGACTAAAAAAATAAATTTAATTTTAAAATTTCAGAAAAAATCAATAGGAATCCAGGGTTTTGAAACAATGGAGGCCGCCCAATACTACGGTGAGCTAGCTAGGCTATGTCAAAAGAAGGACATAAATGGTTAAATCAAAAAGAGGGAAGAAGTCGGACTCCGTAAATAAAAATTTTTACCCAAAACTCAATAATTTCCCATTGATATTTTTCTTTTCTCTATCTGTCTTCCGGTCTGAGATTGGATACAAAAAGGGGAGAGGGAGTTAATGTAAGAGAAAGGATTGACATAAAGTTTTTGAGATAATCCATTGCTTTTCTTTGTTTTTCACTATCTATGCCTGAGTTTTGAACAAAAAGACGAGGAGGGAAGTAGATTAGAGACGGGGAGAAAGAAAAGAAAGAAGGGGGAGTTGGGGGCGGACGACAATGGGGAAAAAAGAACATAGTGGGTGAAGGGAATTTTGCGGGGGATGGGGGAAGTGTGCCTGGTTTATTTTCTTTCTTTTTAATTTATATTTTTTTTCTGGTTTTAGATTTTTTGTAAATCAAAACTATTGTAGTCACGCGCGTAATTTTTGTGACTTGCACACGACTTGTCCACATCATCTCTATCACTGCCATATGTGCATGGTCGACGGTCAAATAAGTTTATTAGTTATCGGATATGTAAGTTTGAATGTTCAAATAGGAACAATGTAAGTTTATGTATCAATTTTAAAATTCGATACAAGTTTAAGCGACAACGAGACCATTTGGCCTATTTGAAATAAAGCTATGAAATAGGACATCGTCAATGATAGTGTCAGGGGTATTTTTAAAATATCATTTATACTCGCTGAGACACTGGCTCCTAAAAATAAAGCTAGGAAACAGGACATCTTCAATGAGCCCCTCCTCATGGAATCACAAAACGGCTACCAACAAATGTTACAAGTGACACCTACAAAGCACACCTCACCAACTTGTGCTGAATGAGTTTGTTGACACCTCGACCCACCAGCCACTACCTTTCTATTTATTGCTTCCACTTTCCTTCAATTCAATACACTATTTATTTTCCACTTGAAAAGCTATTTCCCTAATATATTACACGTTTGCCACAACTCTATATTGAACTGAAAAAAAATGGCAACAAAGTTATGGGCTTCAAGAGCTGCTTCATATCTCAGGATCTCAACATTTCACAGAGCTTTTGCTACTGGTAATATGGTTACAGAATCATACTTTTGTTTCTGGGATCACCCATTTGTCTTTTTCTTTAATGTTTTATTGCTTCTTCTTTTTTTTTAATTTGCTTTGAGTTGTATAAATCTTGTTCATGTATTTTTTGTAAGAGAATCTGTTTGATCTGTCATTTTCTTGATGAAAGATCCGATTTTTGGAAGTGGGTTGTGGATTTTATGTGGTTTCTACAGCAGAAGGTTTTTTTGGGTTGTTGAGGGATTTGTACTTCATTATTTAATTTTAACTATGTCACCTTCTGTGTTCTGAAGTGTTGTATCAGGTAGGGTCTTGTTTGTGTTGTTTTCCTTTTTTTGGTAAGTAAGTATGGGATTGTGTATTTGTCAATTTGTTTACAAATGTTGATTGAGAATGATATTTTTGTTGTTTGCTCAGTAAATCTGTCCCTTAGATGCATCTGGAATTTATTATGATGGAGACTTGATAGTGACTTGTGAACTTGTTCTTGTGTCTGATGTCATCAGCCTGATGTAGGATTGGAAGATGGTAATGCAATGAAATTTTCAGGACTAGTGTTCTTTTTAATTTTATTCTACAACTCTAAATTTATGGACAGCTTGTAAATTTAGAGTAACTATATTTGCTACCTTTTCCATAAAATGTATCCATGTTTCTATTTGGATTTTTTTTTCTTTCTTATTTGCATTATTGTTTTCAAATATAAAAAGTTCTAAAGTAATGTCTATGATGATGCTTAGTGTGCTAATCATAGTTGTTATCCTTTTTCCTTCAAGTGCCAACCTCTCTAGTAACTGGTTGTAAATTCTGCAGATTCTTTAAAGACTTCAGGAATGGTAGTTGTGGATAATTTTCTGTAACTATGTGAAATTATTTTGTTATGTGACAAATGTAAGACATCTTAAAGTTAGTTCTTTCATATTACCTTGATTTGGTTATGTTTGACCCTTATAGATGCAAGTTGTAGGGAGTCTAGTTCATACTCTACAGTATCCTACATTTCCTGAACATCAGAAATAAAAAGACATTCGGGAAAAATGAATTTAATAATAGCGTAGTCTTATTGCTTTCTGTTGACATACTTGTTCTGTTCAAATTAAGTTGGGCACAAAAATGTTCGTTAATTGATTTATATTTTTGATAAATTGGGCAGAAAATATTTATACAGTCTATAAAATCTTAAGGGATTGTTTCCTTGTGCTGTTGTGCAGTATATGTTTTTGTGTTATATTTTGTATACACAAAATCTTTGAGTGAATTTTTTCCTATCGTGATACTTTTAGTCCGTTTTGACTTCCATGTTGTGTTTGAATCCAATGAATAATTGCCTGTGAGTAAAAGGAACAATTTTGGACTGAACCATAGATGGTTGAACATTTGATCCCTAAAAAAGGGCTCCCGTTTGAATAATGTAGCAACAACCTATGGCTATGCAAACCTATGGCTATGCAACTGATCAAAAAAATAAAACAAACAAACAACACAATCGACGGCTACGCAGATGCATATCACTAAAACTCTCTCTAATATAACAATGGTTTGTGTTCGAATTCTTTGCAGTGGCCAAGGATTTAAAGTATGCAGAGTCTCATGAATGGGTTAAAGTTGATGGTAGTTCTGCAACAATTGGCATCACTGATCATGCTCAGGATCATTTAGGTGATGTTGTCTATGTTGAATTACCTGAAGTTGGGGCTTCTGTAAATCAATTTGACAGTTTTGGTGCTGTTGAAAGTGTCAAGGCCACCAGCGATATCAATTCTCCTGTTTCAGGGAAGGTGGTGGAAGTTAATGAGAAGCTCGACTCCTCTCCTGCTCTGGTGAGTTATTTCCCCAAGGAAAACTTTTCCCTCATACCAAACACACCCATAGTATATATATTTTTGCTGTCTGCATGACTCCTCGTACATATAGTGTTGGGCTAGTAGGAGAAGAAGATGTGCTTTCTTGTGTGTACTTTAATATGCGTTGCATGCTTTCTTAGCTCTTTGACTGATATCGTGTGCAAATGATCTCTCTTTTCCTTCTAGTTGGTTCTTTTCCAAGAATTTCTTCAGTTGATTGTAAGTTGGGAACATATAAAGGGTCCAAAATGAGTGAATGGATAGTGAAGATTCTCACATGACCTGCTCCAACTAGTTTGGGATTGAGGTGTAGTAGTTGTTGTACCCTTGTTCTACCGTCATAAAAATTTAAGAGCCATTGTTAGCCTGCAGAGACTAACTAACAGGTCCGAGCTCTATGAACTTATCAAATGTATTATTAAGTCAACATGTTATCATCTTAATCAAACATGTAAGCCATGATATGTGTAATACTTTACCCAAAAGAAGATGACATATGAATCTACTACTTCGTCATATATTTCTGCTTTGCAGCGCCAAGTGTTCTATTTTGTACCTCTTTGGAGCTAATAATGAATGATACTTAGCAGTGGGATTAAAGGTTTATATTTTGGTAAATACTCCAACTCTGTAGTCTTCGCAACTTCGTATAATCAGACCACTGTTTCTTAGAGAATATGTTGCTCACTAGAATCTGCTCTCGTCAATACTTTTCCACTTCTCTCAACATATCATATAGATATTGATGTTTGTAGCTCAACTCTACGATGCATATCCTCCACAAGACTTGTATATGGACCTTTTGCTGAATTCAATCATCAAGTGTTCTTTATTTTAGTTCCAGCTCTATGATACTGCTTTACGTTTCATCTTGACTTGTTCCTATATGGTATGTGATCAAATTTGCAATGTGTGTATTAAGATCAATGGGAGCCCATATCAAGAAGGATGGATTATAAAGGTGGAGATGAGCAACCCCGACGAACTCAAATTGTTGATGGACCCTGACAAGTATTCCAGTTTCTGTGATGAAGAAGACGCAAAACACTGATTGAAACCTCACAAATTTGAGCAAGAACACACTTTCCTGCAGGATTTTTCCTAGTGCATAAATAGGCGTTATTCCCAAGTCCCAGAAACTGGAGATTTATAGTAGTGCTATTTGGTCTTTGATACAACATCTATTACCATTGCATTTCTCTCTTTCTTTGCAAATAATTCAGTGCTTTTTCTAATTTGGGGTGATGAATTGATGTATTAAACTCATAAAGTAAAATGTGAACCTACTTTCACCCTTTCATCTGTTTTGCTCTACTGATTCACTCTTGACCTTTTCCGACAGCAACTTCTTCAACCTATAGAAGTGGATAAGTTTTTACTTAATATCTATAACTCAAAATTAGTTAGCCGACCAAATTGAAATCGAGAAAGGAGTTTTTTTTAGGGAAAAATTAATGTACCTTTGAAAAAAGGATGGTGCTTTTATCAATGTTTCTTAACACCTCCTCAGTACTTTTTTTTTTTGGTTCAAAAAACCTCCTCTTGACTGGTTTTACTGATTCAGTTCTCCTAGAATCAACTCTTCTTCTAATTTCAATATCCTTTTTTGGAATGGCAAAAGGGATGTAAGAAGTAGAAAGGGAAAGGTGGAAAAAGTTTTCAGTGGAACTGGAACCTTATTAATAATGCAAGTATAGTTGCAACGACCTGCAAAAAAAAAAAAAAAAAGAAAAACAGAAGAAGAAGCTCTAATGTTGGGAGATGAGATTTCTTTAGATTTTTCATATAAAATAAAATAATAGGATCAGAAAAAACAAAACAGAACAAACAAGTAAAATTCCACTAGTGGGGCCTGGGGAGGGTAGAGTGTATGTAGACCTTACCCCGGAAGGATAGAGAGTCTGTTTACGGGAGACCCTCGGCTCAACAAAAAAGACAATTATATTAGAAAAGAAACAAAAGAAAAGGTCTGTAACAACAAAAGAAGCCAGAAAAGTAATACAACATCGTAAGAGACAACAAGTAAAAGGGCAATAACACGATACTATGCAAAACAACAAAATAGTGTGAACACAACATAGACCGCTAACAGACCTAGACAAAACTCTATCACACTACCCGGTGCAAAAGGAAAAACGCTCGACTACCCCTAGCCTACAACCCTAATGTTCGACCTCCACACGTTCCTATCAAGAGCCATGTCCTCGAAAATCTAAAGCCGCGCCATGTCCTGCATGATCACCTCGCCCCAATCCTTCTTAGGCCGCCCTCTACCTCTTCTCGTACCTGCCAAAGCCAACCGCTCGCACCTCCTAACAGGGGCATCTATGGTTCTCCTCCGCACATGCCCGAACCATCTAAGCCTAGCTTCTCGCATCTTGTCGTCCACGGGAGCAACGCCCACCCTCTCCCGAATATCTTCATTTCTTATCTTATCCAGTCTAGTATGCCCGCGCATACATCTCAACATCCTCATTTCGGTTACTTTCATCTTCTGGATATGGGAATTCTTGACTGGCCAACACTCAGCCCCATATAATATGGCCGGTCTAACCACCACTCTGTAGAACTTACCTTTGAGTTTCGGTGGCACTTTCTTGTCACACAGGACTCCAGACACTAACCGCAATTTCATCCACCCCATCCCAATACGGTGCGCGACATCCTCGTCGATCTCCCCATCTCCTGGATAAATAACCCTAGGTACTTGAAACTTTCTCTCTTCGGGAAGACTTGTGAGTCGAGCCTCACTGCCATGTCCGCATCCCCCGTTACGCCGCTGAACTTACACTCCAGATATTCTGTCTTAGTCCTACTCAACTTGAAACCTTTGGACTCCAGGGCCTGCCTCCAAACCTCTCGTCTCTCATTTACGCTGCCTCGCGTCTCATCAATTAGAACTATATCATCAGCGAACAACATACGCCATGGCACCTCCCCTTGAATATAGTGTGTTAGGGCGTTCATCGTTAGGGCAAATAATAACGGGCTAAGCGCAAATCCTTGGTGTAACCCTATAACCATTGAAAAAGTGTTTGACCAAAAAGTATTAAGCCTTTTGATTAAACCAATTAATGATGAGAAGACGGGTGAATCTTAGTTAAGAATAATAAAATCTAGACCAAATGTTAGATGAAGTAGACAAGATGAACGACGTTAGCTAATATGTTTGAGCTGATTAAATGCTCATAAATGCAACAACATAGATGTACAATGAATATAAATAAATGTGACTAGCACAATAAAAGGAAGTTACTACCCAATTATTGTAAGATTCGGAAAGCTCCTTCCCCTGACAACAGTGTGGAAAGAAGGGAAATAAGAGGAGGTTGAGGAATCTTTGGATCTCGTGAATATAGAACCTAAAATGTTTGCTCGAGTAATATAATCAATGAATGAGACAACTTTTGTATATTCTTTCAGGTCAACCTTTTACAAAGTGTTCTTTCTCATAAAAAGTGAAGATCCCTTTTTGGTTCTCTATCTCTTCCTATTTATAAGGGACATTTCCCAAAAATCCTAAAAAGTACAGAGCAAGGAATATCCAAAGGAATATTCCTTGTGTCCATATTTGAACCTATGCTACCGTTATTTCCTCATCTTAGCTGCCCGTCTTTGGCATCAACCGTCTTGAGAGCAACCTTCAGTTGTTATACCATGGTCGACCCCGTCCTTTGTCTTGCTTATCCGTTACTGCCGAGTCGCCAAATTTAGACCTATACAGTTAGTCCCTCCGCTTGGTGAGGTCATGGTCCTGCACGCCCTCAATAAGCGGACCTGATTTGCCTTCGTTTCAGAGGAATTTGGTTGTTGAATAAGCAGGGTCGGCCAAGATGGAGAAAACGGCACGACTAGTGGAGTCTTGATTGGTGTGGCTACCATGGGGTGACGTCATAGCCACGCGCGTCATCATTACGCATCTTCCCGAGACAGCGTCTGCGTGCCTGTCGCTTCGATTTTGGTGCCATTGACAATCCTTTGCTTCGATTCTCGCGCCACCCAGCCCTATAAATAGATGGGGGTTTCGTTTTTCAGAAGTTTTCACCCTCCCTTCTCTTGCATGAACAGTGTTCTCCTTTGATCTTCTTTGCCAGTGTCTTCTCTTGACTTCGCTTTCGCGATTCCATATCTCCCATCCTTACCTAGTTGTTACCTTCTTCTTCAGGTTTAGTAGTATACCTTTTATCGTCGAAATGTCGCAAACCCTTCGCATTCACGATGAAATTCTGATGCCACTCCGTTATCGGTAGCCCCTCCTTCCAGTGGTGAGGATCTCATGGCTTAAGAGGATGAGAGTTTTCCTACCGTGGAGGAGATAGTCCCCAGAAACCCCTTGTCTAGAAATGATTTTCTCAAGGAAACTGCTCCTGCTCCTGCTCCTGCTCCCGCTAGGTGATTTCGGAGACTGGGCCGTCTCATATAGCTCAGCTTCGATCTACATATCGCATCCCTTCCCACGTCGAGATAGTGTTGGCTGGTGGTGACATCGTGGAGGTCCATCGACCTAGGTATTGTGCCTTCTATGTCTACCCTTTCTTAATTGGATATACTCTCCCACTTCTTCCGCTGACGGAAGAATTTTGCTGGTTTTATAACGTTTGCCCGGCAAAACTATCTCCGTATTTGTATAAAGCTTTTCTGATGCTGACGAAGTATGCGGAATTGGCTGGTTGTGAGGTCGATGTCCGCCACCTATTGCACTTATTTTCACTAAGTTTTTATAGAGGTACTATGATACACCTGCGGCATCGTGGGACCAGAAGGCTGATAGTCGGAATGGATGATAGGATGAATCGGACGTTTTGGCACAAGTACTTCTTTATCAAAACCGAGCACTTGGTGGCGACCCGACTGGGTTTCCCGAGCAGTGGAACCATAATCGTAAGTGTTTTTGGCATACGCTTGTTGTCTTCTTTTCGTCCTTTCGCTTTCCGCTCATTTGTGGCTTCTTTGTTTTTTCAGCTGAGAGGCGTGCACCCTCCCCTATCTTCGGTATAGAAGACTGGGTGGCTCGCGTGTTGCCTCACATGGCAGGTATTCGTGATTGGGCAGTTTTCTACAAACGCTTTGGACCGAAGGTCCATGCTAGTAAGTGTTACTTTTGCTTCGGCCTTCTGTTGTTTGCCATTATTTGTTGATGCGACCTCCTTATGATGCCAGTACGGGCTTCTAAAAAGAAAGCTCCAGTGCTTTCGCCAGGCTATTGCATCGGCAGGGATGAAATTTTACTTTGGCTGAGTCCGTCCGTGGAGGTCGTACTCAAGCTCTGTCAACGAGGGATCCCCCCCAGAGTGTTGCTTCACGGGATGAGATCTCTTCCCGTCCTATCTACCATCTCGTAGATGAGTCGTCTAATGGAGAGGAGTCACCGTCAAGAAAGAGGCGAAGAGTGGAACTTGGGAAGGCCGCCATCACTGGTATTGAACCGAAGAAAATCGTTGCTTAGGAAGCGGCGCCTGCACGTGTGCCAGGCGCAGGGGCCGTCTTTATGGCAGATGATATTATGGAGGGGAGGTCTTCTAGGGCCGAGGGGGTACATGAAGGCGGGGAGCCCGTACGGACCGCAGAAGGTGGTGCGTCATCGGTGGCCGGAGGAGATGGAGCGGTACTTGCGGGGGACGACGGCTCTGGTTCAGACATCGACCTCGAAGAGATACAGTCCTTCTTGGGTAGGAACACTCGCGTAGAGGTGAGAACGGAGGGTCCTAACCGGCACATAATTATTCCTGTGGGTTATGACCTTTTGGCTAACTCTGAGCGAGCGGTGCCGTCCTTTGCCCCCTTATGCGCGGCTTCTGAGAACACGGTGTTGCAGACGATGAGCGATGCAGAGCTATCACTGAGTATCTCCGGCATGGCTTTGCGAGTAAGTGCCCCTTTTTTTATGTTTAGGATTTGCCTCGCTTGCGTAATCTGCTTATGTTGACTTCTTTCTTTCGCATGCCAGACTTTTATCATGGGGATCGAGCGTGAACGGCAGGAGGAGCGGAGGACGACCATTTTTAAGAAGGTGACTTCCAAGTACAAAGAGTACCGTACTGAACGCTGGTCGACATTTTAACCAAGATAGCGAGTTTCAGCTGTTTCGTGACGGGCTCAAACAGAAAGAGGATGAGTTGGTGAGTAAAATTGAGGAGATAAAGGAGCGGGATGATGAGCTAATGAAAGCCATAGGTCAATGCAGCGAGCTTAAGGTGGCTCTTAAGGCCAAAGACGATGAGCTCGAAGTGAGCAAGGGGGTGATGGCCGAGAATGCCGACCTTCAAGCGCTGGTGGCTTCCTTAACTGCTGAGCTTAGGC